ACAGACAGCCTATTACTAATTTTCTTATGACCACTTATTGGGCCCTGGGGGAATAAGTAGGAATGTTACAATTCCTGCCCTTAGGAATTATGTTGTATGAGAGACGGACAAGTAAACAAAAATGATACAATGTTAATATTACAATAGTTACTAGGTCCAGTGGTGGCACAAAGAAAAGACTAATTTATCCTACTAGGACTTAAGGAAAACTAGGGAAGATAACACTAAGGAGATGATATTTAAGCTGAGTCTTTAAAAATGCAACGTTCATTAATTCATTGAAAAAACATTTACTTGGCAGCTCTTTTTCCTAGACATTTACTAGGCATGGTATTTATCAGAGCCATAACTGATTGCTCCACCCCAGCCATCACTGGAGCAGCAGCACTGGAAAGGTGATTTTTGCTTCACACGATCCTGCCACCTGACTACATAGTTAGGCTTCTCACTTACAGGGACCAATCCATAGACTGGACAGCAACTTAAGATGTAGCTTGGCAAGAAAAGCTGAAGCAGTGTGGAAAGTGAAGGGATTTATTTTTTTCCAAGTTTACCAAGCAAGTAAGTGGCAGAGCTAGGATTAGAACCTAGCACTATGTCATCTTTTTTATGGCATACACCTCCTTACTCCCTAGAAGCCCATGAGAGTGAGCACTTCACAGACCCGACACCCAGCACTGAAGTCTTGGAAGGTTCTGCTTGGTGCCCTTTCCGCAGCCCTTTCATCTGTCAGATGACAGATCTTTCTAGATCTGTTCCCTTGGCTGATAAAGCCAGCCCTCTGTATAGCTAAGAAGGATGTTTGATGAAATTCAGACTGTTTCTCTAGTGATGCAGTCCTTTTTTTTTTTTTTTTTTTTTTTTTTGGTCAACTGTGAGACAGGTCCAGTGGGTGTTGAATTCAGTGTGGGTGTAATAATTATTCCTAAGTGAGTTGTCGCCAATAAAGAGAACTTAGTATAAACTTCTTAGAGATAGAAGTATCTATCAGTGACATTATTAAACTTTTAAGAAAACCTGCTAATACATAGCTCCTACTTTTTTGAACCTGGTACACATGGTCAATGATGGAAATATGTAGAGTTTGAAGAGAAGCTGTTTTTCCACATGACGCTGTACTTAGTCCTGTGTCTTAATCAATTAAAGCCTCTCAGTCAGTTTGTAGGTAGCACAGCCCTCAAGCTGCCCACTCTTAATTTCTTCTAGCCTGAGTGGTTAAGACAAGAAGTTGGCAATGTGCTAGGTGTGTACCTTTCTTCTCCATAATTGTGTTTGCTGAGTTCAGTCATCTCAAAGCAAATATAAAGTCCTTTCAGAAACCTGAATCTCAGAAGCTTGCTTTTGCAGCATGCCATGGTACTATATTTACTCTGGATTCACAGAATCATTCTTCCCTTGCTGAGTATGTGCCAGGAGTTGTGCTGGGGATACAGCACAGACATTCTTACAGTCCAGGTACAGTTGGAAGAAATAAGACGTACACATACAGTGAGGATGTAGAAGTTGCAAATTGGCACGAATCTATCTGGAGACATGTTTTGTTTGACTCAGTAATTTTAACATTTACTTTAGTTACCAAGGTTTATTCATTTTCTTTCATGAAAATGAAGATTTCTAGCTGTTTTGAAAGAATGGGAAGAACTGACACGACGAGAACAACACTTACAAATTAAAATAACTGAGTACAATGGAATAGCACTGCCTTCTCCAACAGATAGTGTGCTCTCTGATTCTTCAATTGCTATTATCTTGTAGGCCACTTTATTCCTTTACTTTTCCTGCCTACCTTTCTTAAGGAGTTTGCATTTGTGAACCTGCAACGCAATATTAGTAAATACTATACTATGTGTGAAGAATATAGTATAGGAGGCTGTGGGAACATAGAGGAAATGTTCCAAGCCCATAAGAGACACAGATATGTTCTAGAACAAGGCCCAGTCCTGAAGAATGGAAGGAAAGGAACCATAGGAGATAGTCTGAGGACCACCTTCCAAGGCTCAGCAGGTCCAAAGGCCTAGAGGTGACAGAAAAACACTACAGGTAATTCTGTTCAGGTGGAATAGTAGAGAGACAGTTTGGGACAGGGAGTATGCAGCTGGAGACAAAGCAGAGGCATGAAGAGCCTTCAGGACAGGGGTTTTGACTTTATCCTGGGATGAGTAGTGATCCACTGAAAAAGCCTGAGCAGGGGAATTGGTGTGGTCAGATCGGCTCATCCAGAGGCTAATGCCATAGTTGAGGAGGGTTGATGGTGGCTGTATCAGCATAGAAGCAGTATAAGAAGAAGACTAAGAAATATGAAGGAAGAGGAATCTAAAGGACTTGATGGCTACTTTTGTATGAGGGATGAGGAAGGAATCCAATGTGACAAACAGGTTTCTGGCTCTGACTGCTGGGTGCCTGCTAGACCACTTAGCATGAGTAGTGACCCAATGAAAGGGTCTGAGCAGGGGAATGCTAGACCACTTACTAAGAACAACAGACTCCTGTGATGAAAGTCACCTGGGGAAGGAACAGGAGGCCTGGGTTCTAGCCTCAGCTTCACCACTAACTCAGTCTCTCTGGGCCTGCGTATTCATTTGTAAATGAAGGTGCCACACTGAAGTGCCCTTTATGCCCCCTTCCAAGCCTTTATAAAAAGATCATTTTTTCCCACTTCAGTGAAAAAGTGCAGAATCAGATACAGAAAAACTAAAATTCTCCTATTCCCCAGAACCTGAAAATTCAGGGTAAAAGCAATTTTTAAAGTTGAGCGCAACCCCAATACAATACTTGAATTCCTTAGCAACAACCTTTTCAGGAGCTTGTTCAACCTCGGCTCAAACACATCTATCCTGGATAATTCTACATACCCTAGCACAGCCTGTTCAAGTCTTATACAGCTTTAGAAAATGTTTTCTGCTACTCAGCCAAAGGTAGACTAAGTTCATGTCTACCTTTGGTGGAAAAAGTGCTACATTTTGCATTTTTCTTTTTTTTTCCCCCTTAGTCTTCAGAACAGGAATACATTTTGCCTTTTTAAGACAGGATCAAGTCCTGGCTTTATCCCTTAGGAGACACCATCTCAAAGCCTGTTTCCTTACATGGAAAATAAGGGCTAACTTGGAGGATTTTTATAAAAAGGGGTACTTACCTGAAAAATATCCAGCATATTCTTCCCTTAGAAGGCTTTCTATAATTACAGCACGATGGGCTCAGGCAGCAGCCATGGTTCTTCATGTTTTTGTCTAGGCTCCAACCCAGCAACTGTCATCAAGTGTTCATGTCAGGGCTGTGGTACAATTACACTTCAGAGGTGCAAAAACAGGTGAGCATACTAGAAAAACTCAGCTTCCTGGAGCTAATCATTCTTTTCCTAGTTCCTCTTTAGCACCCATGACCTCCTGGAAATAGACTGCTTGGGTTCAGATCCCAGATCTGTCATTTACTAGTTGTGTGACCTAGGACAAGTTACTTATTTCTCTCAACTGCCTTATTTATAAAATGAAAATAACAATACCTAGAGAGTTAATTAATTCATGTAAAGAGCTTACAACACTGCCAGGTACATGTAAGTACATTAAACCAAAAGTCAAAACATGCTTGAATTTAAATTCCAGCTCCACGTCTAATTGTATTATCTTGGCCAGGCGTGATGGCTCATGCCTGTAATCTAAGCACTTTGGAGGCCAAGGCAGGCAGATCACCTGAGGTTGGGAGTTCAAGACCAGCCTGACCAATATGGTGAAACCCCGTCTTAAAAAATAATAAATAAATAAATAAATAATTGTATTATCTTGCTATTATTTTTATAAGCTTGTCAAGTGCTAAATATGATCCAGACTGGCTGCAGGTTCAGATTCTACCAATCGTTATTTAATCCATCCTATACAACAACCACTGAGGTCTAATTATCTGTTTCACAGATGAGGAAACTGAGTCTAAGAGAGCTGATGATTTGAAGGCCTTTTCCCATATACTTCCCCTGAGGTGGTATAGCTTAGACCTTTGGGATCTTCTTGGATGTGAATGAATACAGGCTTTACTATTTATAGTTTTCCCACCAGTGACTTAGTCTCTAAGCCTCATTTGGCTATCGTGAAGATTAAATGACAGGTAAAGTACATAGTACAGGCAGTGCCAAAGATTAAACTCTCTGGAGCACTGACTTATTATATCACACCTGGAATTTTTTTTTTTTTTTTTTAAACAGAGATGTGGTCTCACTATGTTGCCCAGGGTGGTCTTGAACTCCTGGGCTCAAGCAATCCTCCTGCCTCATGTAATCCCAAAGTGCTGGGATTACAGGTATGAGCCACAGCCCCCATACCTCTACCTAAACTTTAACTCACATGCAGCAACGTGTCAGAGATAGTGCATGACTTTATTTCTTGTACTGGATCCCTATTTCCCATAGTCCTGATTTCTTTTCTAAAATATAGCTCTTCTATATTATTTTTTTAAAGCCATAGAGGTCTTAAGAATATAGCCAGGCATGGTGGCCAGCACCTGTAATCCCAGCTACTCAGGAGGCTGAGGCAAAAGAATCACTTGAACCCAGGAGGCAGAGGTTGCAGTGAGCCGAGATAGTACCATTGGACTCCAGCTCAGGCAACAGTGCGAGACTCTTGACTTTAAAAAAAAAAAAAAAAAAAAAGGTCTTAAGACAGGCAAGATCAAGAATTGCCTTGAAAGATGGACATGATTCATTCTCCAGCTATTCAGTCAGTCCTTGGCCCAGCTACTGCCTGCGTGAGGGAAGAGGCTTCTTAGCAAGATACCGCATGTTTAAGGTCCTTCAGCAACTTATCAATGGTAAAAAAGTACAGCTGTTAAATCTGCTTTGGAGGTGCCCTAACACACCATCACTTTAAGAAATAAGACTATAGCTCAAATAACCAGTTATCAGGAGGCAGCTGGATCTTTGTGTTTCACACCTGAGGAATAGCATGTAAGCATGTGGTATAAAAGCTAAAGCTATAGCCACATACATTTCTTTATAGACCAGGAACTAGAACAGCTTGGTGTTTTCTCAACTTTATTATGGAGCGGGGAGGGGAAGTAGACTTGAAGGTTTTTTTTATTTTTTAATGCAAAAACAATTTATCCTGTGTTTGATACCAGATGAGACTGTAAGGGTCACATACTCCTTACGCCTACACATCGATCCCAGGTGAAGTGCTTCAGGTTTGGCTCATTCTGACACCAAAGAAATGGCCCTCTGGGCCAAGGTTGGAAAGACTGCTTTTGCCTCAGCGCCGTGCAGGTTTGGGCATTATATAAACTTTTACAGGCTTGCTGAAGGGAATGGTGCCCTCGATGCTGGTTTCCACCTGGGGCGATACCTCACCACCCTCCATCCAGGGGCATTTTGGAATGCGAGCACTGGAGTTGTAGGACAGCAGCAGCCTCACTTCTACCTGACACGGCTCTGAAAAAAAGACAAAAGAAATCCTCTATGACTTGGCAACTGCTAAGAATGAGGATGAAATGTGAAGTTATAGAAACATCAAAATGGAAGCAGTAGGGAAAACATTTCTTCATCCATCCAGATCCCTCCCCTTACCCTCACCAAACAAAACACTTTCTCAGGCAAAATCCTGGGGGGCTGACACTGAGCTTGTAGATGTGATGCTACTCCGTCACCTCCTCCTCGGGCTCACTGTGGCGCAGAGCCATAGCTGCTGAGACAACTGGAGAGCAAGCTAAAAACCCTTCTAGGAAGATTAATTACTTCATGAACTGCTTTATGAACTGGGTTCAAATTCTTATGCAGGTGTGGATTTGGGTGGTCTCAGAACCTTTGAGAGTCTCAAGACTTCCAGCCTCAGGACAGAGGGTCAGCAGGTGCATGCTGCTTATTCTCATACCCAAGTAGGCTCTTCCTGTGCAGTTTGATATCAAGCCTCACGGCTGCATGTACCACAGACAACACTTTATTAGTGGAGAGGAAGCCTTTGAATAGCAAACAGTTCACCAAAAATTTCTGGCCAATGAACAGGAACATGTTTCAGGGACCTAAAATCATGTCCGAAAACATTTCATTCTTTCATTACATTATATTACAACATAACATAATCATATAGTGTCTGTATGTGGCAGGTCCTGGCAAGAATAAATAAGAACTCTCCTCAAGTTGACGGCTATTTGGTTGAGGAAACAGACAGTTGCAATGGAATACAGTATAAGAAGTACTGAGGAGGGAGTGCAAGAAGGTTTTGGAATAGACTATCCACTCTATGCCAAGCACATAACCCCAAAAGTTCTTATCCTGCTACATTATGAAACAAATACTGTCACAATCTTGGCAAAAGTCCCAAGACTCAGAGAGGTTCTCAGAGACTGCTCAAATCCACACCTGGGTAAGAATTTGAGCCCAGTTCATAAACTGAAACAGTTACTCTTTCTATTAACCACATGCTTCTATAAAGAAGGGGAAGATAATTTCAGAAAAATGTAAGGGCAAGTGCAAAGGCCAGGAACAGAGTGAGGTTGAGATGTCTCCTTAATTTGGTGTAACCAGAGCAAAAGGTATAAGTGTGGAAGATGATCCCAACGCTAAGAAGTTCAGAGGGTAGAAATGAGGGCTAGATGGATCTAAATTAATAAGGGCAGAGACTCCAGGACTTCTCAGTGCCTCCCCAGACCTCTTCCTGGTTACATCCAGACTTCTCTCTATGGGTCAGAGAAGAGACTGGATTGCTGTCCTCCAGAAAGGGAAAGACATACAGTCAGAGCAATCCAGAGGCCAAGAGCAATCCAAGACCAGAGCAATCCAGTGTACCTCAAATTTCAGCATGAGATCTAAGTGCAGCCTCAGCCATCAGCAAGTACCAGCCATGTGGTAAGCACACACTCACCTGACAACATGAGGGCCATGCAGCAGCCTTGAGTGTAACTGTCATGAAACTAACACTGTTCTCTGATACCAGGCTCCAGATGAATCTCCCACTCAGGGTGGAATCGAGATAGGTACCCATATCTGCTTTCCTGCCACACTCTCCCATTCAGTCCCAGGTGGCAGAACACAACCACAGCCCCAGTTCACAGAGCACTTTCAAAAAGCCAAATCTTGGTAAGAACCAGGCACAGTGGCTCAAGCCTATAATCCCAACTCTTTGTGAGGCCAGTGCAGGACAACTGCTTGATCTCAGGAGTTTGAAACTAGCCTGGGCAACATAGTAAGACCCCATTTCTATAAAAATAAATAAATAAATTAGACAGGCACATAGTCTCCGTTATTAGGGGGGCTGAGGCGGGAGGACCACTTGAGCCCGAGAGGAGTGCACCACTGCACTCCAGCCTGGGCAACAGAGGAAGACCCTGTCTCAAAAAAACACCAAATAAATCCTGTTAAGGTCAGAGGGAGCTGACGTCGGACTCAGCCCTACAGGATCATTTTGCATTCCCTTACCAACATTTGATAAGAGTGGCAATCCAAGGCAATGCCTTAGGAGGAAAGCAGAGTAGAGAGAAAATGAGAGGGAGGGGAACTTGCGAGAAAGAGACAAGATCATCTAGGATAACCCATACACCTTATAGAATATATTTCCAGGAGTTTTACATTCTTATTCTCATCTTAAAGACAATGAGACAGACAGGTAAAATAACTTTCTCAGGATTACACAGCAAAGGAGGCAGAATTTGAAATATGGTCTGTGACTCAGCTCCCTACGTGGCAGCATCCTGCCTCCCAGAGGAGAGGTCCTTCCCTGCTGGGGAGCTGCTCAGGGACTGAAGGAGCTCCCTAAAAACTCCAGGCCCCATCTCTTGGATGAAGAGAAAGAAAGTGCAAGCTTATTTACAATGAGACACACTGCACTTGAGTGTCCCAAACTGGAAGGGAGGTAGCACAGTAAGGGAAGGCTGAGTGCCAGCTTCAGCACTATCACTGATCAGCTACATGGGCCTCCATTTATGTATCTGTAAAATGAAGAAGAGAATACTAATTCCCACTGCAGAGTTGGTGTAAAGATTAAATGAATTTTTATTGCACATTTAAAACCTTGTATTCAATTTTCATTATTTGTTGAGTGTCTACTACACGTCAGGCACTACAGACATAGGCTACTGAAGCACTGGAGATACAGAGGCAAAGACAAGCAGGTTCCCTGCTCTATAGGAGCCTACGTCCTACTGGGAAAGTCAGTAAATAATTAAATGTGAAAACACATCTGACACCAATAAGTGCTACACATAAAGAATTAAAACAG